ATTGCAACCCTAAGACCTATTCAAGCCACCGCCTCCACAGCTTCAATCCAGCAATGCCACGATGGTTGTCGCCTCTCCAGATCTCACCAGAGCACTCCAGTAGGCTCCAGAAGATGAACACAGACCGCACAACGCAACAAGCTAGGGTGAGTCACCATCGTAAGTCCGGTGACTCACCGGATCTTGTCATCATTACACCGATCTTCGAGACCTATATAAGGCGTTGCTGCAACCAACGAACAGAGAACACACAACAGCAAAGAAGAACAAGCAAGGAAACATAGCAAGAGACACAAAGAGCAAATCGAAGGCTACCATAACGATCCACAACAGCAACAAAAAGCAAAGAGAAAAGATAAAGGATATCTTACCCTCATCGAAGCCCAAAAGTCGTCGGGAAAGCTATTTTACCGAAGGTAAAATTCATGATCTAGTCTGATTGGTTGGTTTTTAGTAAAAAATGAGCTCAGATTCGAGTAGAGGGGGTTTCGATCTACGTTTATGGTAGGTTTGGTATTTTTCAGCCACCGTGGGTGGTGACCGGCGACGGCGGAAATCGGTGGATTAGGGCGGCCGACTGGTGACCAGTCTTCTTCAGGCGAGAAAGTTAGAGAGAACCGAGAGGTTCTCTCAGTTTAGAGAGGAAAAGAGAGAAAATGAGAGAGCTTGACCTCAAAAGGCCAGTTTTAGGTTATATAAACCCTCCCTCGTACGACAACGTTTAGGGGAAGGGTATCTTTGTAAATTTGTTATGGGTAAACTATACGTGCGATCCCTCCATGTTTGTAAACATTCCACTTTAGTAACAAAATCAGGTTTTTCATATCTTGTAATTTTATTTTCATATTTTATATATTTTTATTTTAGTCATTATATATATATATACGTATATTTAGGTTAATTATGCATTTAATCCCTAAATATTAATAAGTTTACATTTCGACTTATATAATAAATTAAGAAAAAGTACATTATTAGTATACTGTTTTTAATGATATTTTAAATTAAGTAAATTGATTTTAATATTTTATATTATTATTAATTACACTATTAGTATTTATATTAGGATTATTGATTTACATAGTTTGATAGTTTTAAACATTATAGTAGGACTAGTAATATTTAAGTTTAATATTATTTAGTAATCCTCTAAAGTAAATTATTTAAGAAAATTTATAATTTATTGCAAAGACAATAAATTAATAAATACCAGTACCAATTTTGGGCGTTATGGGGGTGTTAATCCTTCCCCATACGTAATCGACTCCTGAATTCATTTTTATGGTAAGCAGACCCGAGTTGCATTATTTTAATATTATTCTTAGGATTTTTTATAAAAATAATATGACATTTTGGTGACCAATCTCACCGAATTAACAGATTGGTGGCGACTCTATAATTTGGTGTTTTATTTGATTCATGGAGGATAAACACTTACTTTTTCGAGACTATTTGCACGGTTTGAGGTGTACTATTTGCACTCTCCGTCGCCAAGGCATAGAAACGTCTCGACAATTTAGAAGTACCAAACCTATACCTCCGAATAGATTCGAAAGGCTCTTTTTCGATAAGTCTAAATATGTGAACATTTCCCTTTATTCCCTTCTGATTGATTTTAGAAGTGATCATTTTTATTGGTTTCACTGGACGGTGCTCGTTCACTTTAAATTACCAAATTGAACTACCCAGGTGGGTTAGGATAACTCGTTTTGATTATTCAAATTAAATGTGCATTGCCTTTTAATTCATTATTGAAAGGGTTAAGTGATGTGGATGAGGCTATCATACATTGAAATTAAATATAAATGTCATGCAATCAAACAACATGTTTCATAGAATAGCATTAAAAAAGTTTAAAAAACAAATCAAAGAATCATTTTAATTTACATGCTTGGATTATAATGCAAATAATACATGAACAATTTAAAATAAAGAGTGAATGAATTGTATTAAAAATAAAGTTTGACGACAAACTAAAGTGAAGATTACAGTTACTTAGCTTTAAGACTCCTTACTGCAAAACAAAATGAATTAGGGTTGTGATAAAAAAGTTAAAAATTAAATTAAGTATAATATGCAAAATAAGTAAATAGAGTTATAGGTACTACAATTAAAGAAAAAAAATACAAAATATTCAATGTACAATATAAATTATATACAAAAAGATAAAATAAGTTAACATCAAAAATAAATAAATAAATAAATAAATAAAATGCATAAAATTTTAAAGCACATAAAACTAATATGGAGAAGCATAATAAATACAAGTATATTAAAAAGGTAAAAAATAATTTAAAATAAAAATGGAGAGTTTAAAATATTGAGTTAACAAAAAAAGTAAATTAAATTTAATGTTTCAATCAATAAATCAATCATAATAAAATGAAAAAACTGAAACTAGGAAAAAATAAATAAGATAACAATTAAGAAATGAAATTTCAAAAAATAAAATAAGGAAATTAAAGCAAAAAGACAACATAAAAAGGTAAGAAAATAAAGCCCAAATCTAAGAAAATTAAATTAAAAAAAGAAAATAATTCTTTAAAAAAATCAAATGTAAAAACCTTACAAAAGTTAAGATAAATAAAAGTGAAATTAAAAATTTAATGAAAGAAATAAAGAAAAAGACCAAAATAAATTTTTAAATAAAATGGAAGATAATGAGAAGAATTATCTCCTACTCGTGTAAAATCGCATGGATCCCATAAAGATTTGAATCGGATCATCGGCTCATTTAATTGAGTACAAATCTTAAAATCTCAAAGTACCAATTCATTTTTCCTTAAAGATATAAATAAATAATAAATAATTTCTCACTTAAGATTTACTGACGGTTTTCATCGAGAAATCTCAAGAAAGACTAAATCTATAAAGGTTCAATAAATAAAAAATTCCTTGTTCATTGAATTTCTCTCTTCCACGTGATTTTCAAGTAAAAGTAAAAATGTAACTAGTCGAAACAATAACAAATAAAGTATAAAGAAAAATACAAGAAAAAAAATATCGGTTTTCACATAGAAACCTCAAGGACTACTATATTTAAAAAAAAAATCAATCTTATTCCCCGATTTTCTCTCATCCGATAGATTTTTTGGAAAAAAAGAAGAAGAAAAAAGTAAAATCGAAATTGATTGAAAAAAAAACAAAGGAAAATAAGAAAAAAAATAAAACAATTTTCTTTAACAAAAATTATATTTTATTTCCAGAAATCTCAAATCACAATGTTTGGGTGGTTTTCATTTTCTCTCAAAAATCCTCTCTCTTACATAAGATGAGTGTCAAAAACCTTAAAAGATAAACCCCTAGCATCTTTTAATTAATGCTAGTTACACAAATTAAAAGAAAAAAAATCTTAAAATAATAAAAATATCATAAATTACCCTAAATATATTATGGAAATGTAAATGTGAATTTAATTATGAATATTCAATAAAATTATTGAAAATTCGTAGTAAATTAAAATTCTCATATTGTGCTCGTATTTAATTTTCTGCACGTGTTGTCTTCACTAAAATAAGAATATATTGAATTTCTGACGTCCGATTGAGGTGTTTCAAAATGCATTGGAAAGATAACTGAAAGTATGTCATATCTCGAGAAGACATCATGCCCTGGAAATGTTTAAATCTTGCTCGAAAATTTATTTTAAGTTGACCGATATTTCATACTTCAAAATCAACTTTAATAAAATGTTTGGACCTTGGAAAAAAAATTAGGCCAGATAAAAATTGATGTCTACACGTCCAACAATGGACAATGTCAATTTGGCGAAGGAAAAGTCCAAGCTTTGGACTTTGTTTCATGATTTTTGAAAAGTTTCTCGAAGAAACCAAATCATAGGAAAAGTCTAATTTAAATAAGAGTTAATGTTCAAGTGATATTTTTTAGATAAATTGATAACACATATAATCAAAATATAGCTTTTAAAAGTTGAGTAGTCAAAATCAGAAACAAAATGAAAAATAAAGCTACCACTAGTGTAATTGACCAAAAGTAAAAGTATTTCTACCTAGTTCGGGACGTCAGGAACTACTACGTGGCCAATAAATCTTTAGTCTGTCACATTTTAATTTCACTGTCAATTCAGCACGTGTCGCTGAAATAAAGGACAACTATGAAAAGGGTAAATTAAATGCTACTTCTCCTATTTCACTCTTTATACTTTCAATATTTTCAATTTGCTCACTATATTTTAGACATTGAACTTTTTTTATCACTCATTCAATGACATGGATTATTTTATTATTTTCTCATATGACATGTCATATTTTTATTAATATTTTAAGATTATAATTAAAAAATAAATTTAAAATATTAAAATATACATCCAAATCCTAAAATTAAAATTTTCACCCCATATTCAAGTTTCAACGGTAGCTTAGGTTAGCGCCGCCGGTGGCCACGATCGTGGTGGCTGCCACGGTGGTCTTTGGTGGATTTTTTTTGTGTTGAATCATTGATTAAGTCTAGTTAATTTCTTTTTCCCCTTTAATGTTGAATCAATGATTTCTTTGTTAGAATTTTTGGAATTTTTGTTGTGTTTGGAGTTTGGTTTTGAACTAAAATCAACAAAGGGCTAATTTCATGGTTGTATTGATTGATTTGGTTGAGGGCCATAAGAGATGTACAAGAGAGCGAGGGATAGAGGTGAGGTTGATCGTTCGTCGGTGTGAGGTTGATCGTCGGTGAAAGGGTGAACTTGTCAAGGGTTATGATAGGTGTGGTTGTAATTTGGGGTTAGGGTTTGGCATATAATTAATTTTAATTTTTAAATTTATTTTTATTTTAATTATATTTTGTATTAAAATATTAATAAAATATGACATGTCATGTGAGAAAGTAATAAAATAATCCATGTCATCAAATGAGTTATAAAAAAAGTTCAATATCTAAAGTTTGATGAGTAAATTGAAACAATTGAAAGTGCAATGAATAAATAAAAGAGAGTAAAATTTAATGAGTAAACGTGTAATTTACCCATAAAAAAGGCTATGGTCTCCGTTTCTATTGAAGGTTTAATGGAGAACATCTTAGAATCCTCAATTCTCAAATTTCTCCAAATCTTTGAACCCTAATTCTCTTATTTCTTCCCCAAATGCCTGTCTCCATCCTTCAACCGTAATAATAACCAGGTAAGGGCACTTTCATTTTCCTTTTCCGATTTGTTCCCTTATTGAACATGAAAGATGGTGGCTTGGAGAACAAAAAGGAGCTAGAAAATTCAAAAAAACAATCCAAGTCTTCAAAATTTCGTAGCAAAAATGATGATTTCTCCCTTGCAATTGCCAAGGTTGCCGTTGCACAAGTATGCGAAAGCGTAGGTTTTCAGAGTTTCCAAGACTCTGCTTTAGAAACATTGTCCGACGTTACTGCTCGATACATTTATACCCTAGGGAAAAGTGCGACTCTTAGTGCTAATTTGACCGGGAGGCTGGAATCGAATGTCTTCGATGTGATTCAAGGGCTGGAAGAGCTAGAATCAGGTTTAGGGTTTGCCGATGCATCCGATGTTAATCGATGTCTTGCTAATTCGGGGGTCATTAGGGATATTGTTCACTTTGTTGGCGATGCGGCGGATGTCCCGTTTGCTTATGATGTTCCACGGTTTCCGGTTGTTAAAGAGCGGGAGGGAATGGGGAGCTTTTGGGAAAAAGGAGAAGAGCCTCATGGGGAGCATCTACCTAGTTGGTTGCCGGCCTTTCCCGATCCCGAGAGTTGTGCTACTCAATCGACTGTAGGGAATGGAACGATGAGTGGCTCCAATGGAGTGAAGACTGGATTAGTGGGGGTTGAAAGGAAGATAGAGAGGCCGTTGCTGAACTGTCAGAAGCAGTTTGCTCGTAATGGGAATTTAAGAGATTCTTCTTGTGGTGCTGGAGATTCTGCTAAAGCCAGGGAAGCTTCTAATAGCAATCCTTATCTCGCTGCACCTCTACAGTTTAGGGAAAAAGAAGTGGATGTATCACCTGTTGTTCTTCCAACTAAGCTTTCAAATGAAGTGGTTTTGAGAGATTCGGTTCCAGAAAATCATTCCGGGGAAGATCAAGTCTCAGTTCTAGAGACATTTGCTCCTGCTATTGAAGCAATGAAGAGTGGGCTATGTGAATACGACGGCAGCAGACAGAAAAATGTCCTCTATAACCAGAGACCTACGGTTCATTTTAAGATTGGAATAGGGAAGAAGTCTTTAAACACTGCACCATATTTCGTTTCCAAGAACAAGGATATCCATAAGATTGCATACTGGTTTGAAAATAGCAATGAGAAAGACGACAGGAAAAGAAGAGCAGAGATTTTTTCGGAAGAATCTATGGAATGTTCTCACGAACCAGGTCAGTTGTAACATAGGGTTGTTACCATTTTTATGGATTTTTCTAAGGTGGTCCCTAGAAATGGACAATGAAAAGCACCGGATAGAAGTCTTCTACTTTGACATCTTTCTTAGGGCATGATTCTTTTTAATTGAAATTATTGTTTCTTCTTTGGTGGTCTTAAACTGATAATGGATTCATCAGCTCCTGTTTCAGCCTGAACTCTATTTGTACACTACGTGGAAGCTTTACACGATATTGTATTAGCATTTGTTATTAGTGAATGCAGTTCAATTTAACATCACTTGCATTCTAATTTTAAAGGTGGATAATAGGTTTGTATAACAGATTATTCAGATACCAAAAGCTAGTGGAACTCATCATATTAATGACCCAAAATTCTAATATTTGTGAACGGCTTTGCTGATTTGAATTTCCTCAACAATTTATCTTCCAGAGTTAGGGTATTGCTTCTTTTGTTCCAAAGATCTCTACTTTTATCTTGTAATTAATTTTGGTTCTTCTGAAACTAGAGTTTGTTATGTTCAACTTCATTGTTTAATTAGTAAATCCTCAAAGAAGAAAGGTATTTAATTTGAATTTTATACAATCAAAATAGAGTTTTAGAAATAGAGATGGGATTCCTTATAGAAATCATGGATAAAGCCAAGCGACTCTTTCTTAAAGTCGAGCAATCTTTTAGTAAGCGGTTGCCCTCGATCCAGATCGAGGGATCGAATTGATTACAGAAACATGAGTTTAATAGCGATTTATTAGTGAATAAGGAAAAAATATTATCTAGACGAGTAAAAAATACTTTAAAAAAATGATTAATTACTATTGCTATTAAACAAGTTCATATTTTATCTTTTTTAACCTTTCTTAATAATGAGAAACAATTTGAAAGAAATGAGTCTACCGTTGGAACTACTGCTCTTAGAACCAGATATAAATTGGCTTACCCCTTCAATATCATCAAACTTAGACTGATGCTTTATTCAACAAAATCTTATAATATATATATATAGGGTTAGGATCTAATTACACTGTGTAAAACTCTTTTAGTTTTACACCCTTTTATGACCATTGGATGAAAGAAATTAAAGGTTAAGATTAACAGTAAAAATGAAAAGATATTCACTGGGCGGCAAAAAACAATGAGTTAATCTCAGCGTTTGATTTCTCTCAATCCAATAGTCCAAAAAAGGTGTAAAACTACTTTTAGTTTTACACTGGGTGTAAGTGGATCCTAACCCATATATATATATGTATATATTCAAAGGATAAAGTTAGATAAATGACGTAAACTTCTCCAGGCTGAGGCTGACTGGTTCCCTGAATGTACTCAACACTCTTAAAAGCGTGAGGGACAATCTTGCGAATGAAATTGTTACCATCAACAATACAAGCCTTGAACATCCTGGCTGGTGGGATTGCAGTAATAGTCTCAGATTCATAAGTGAAAACTCCCATGATTATATTTGAGTCATTTTGAGAAGTGTTTAAAGAGGTTTTTCAGATCTGGACATGTAAATCGGAAGATGGTGTATTTATAGACTTTCAGAATAACGAAGAGAGCTTGCAACTTCGATCCTTGTTTGCGTAAGGACCTTGCGGCCTCCTCGAACTTAAGCTGATAAGCATACAATAATGGACAAAATCAAGGTTCTTGAATGCAGTCAATATCAGAAGAAAGATGATAAAGAAAGATCTCTAATATTTTAAATGCAAATGCAAGACCTTGAATTCAAATGCTTGGACTATTACTCTATTAGGAATGTGATAAATTCTAAATATAGGTTTGTATGTTAGATAAGTTACTGCTATCATTCTGGTTTCACCCTTGTATGTCAGTAGGCCCTCTCTCCTTGGTGGTGGTTCTTTTATTGATGATTAAACATGCAATGCAACAAAGAGTAACTTGCTAGATATTCTTGTTTTGTATGATTACCACCTTTATGCAATCCTTAAATTTGTATATGTTCTGCTTTTCACATGTATCTTGTGATTACTAGTAAAGAACGAATGAAGTGATAATGCCGAGTCCATCAATAACTTCGCAACAAAGTTTTGCCCTTCAAAGATTCAAAAGATTTGCCCACCATATCGTTGTTAGAACTGATCAAGGCTCTCTATGCACGAAAGTAGTAAAGACGAAGCAAAGAAGAAGAAATGACAGCAGGTGCTTTTCAAGCCAAGAACAAAGAATACTGGTTGCATACATCAAGTGGTTGAATCCGATATTGACCCTTACTCTTGTACATATTTGGGGTCCCCTAGTCCCTATAATGGTGATTACTAGATCAGACTGAGTGGGTGAGTATTATGTTGTACCAGAGTAGGAGGACAAGGATTTTTATTTAGGCTTTAAATGTTTGAATATTATGTTAAAATCAGCTAAATGCTTGGTGTTGGGTTTGTTTAGGCTTTGTATATATATATATATATATATATATATAAGATGATTTTTTTTAGGAACAAGATTAAATTTATAGAATTTGTAAATATTGAGGGTTAAATCTATTGAATTATTTAAATATTTAAAATTAGGATCAAATTGATAAAATATATAAATGTCAAAGACTAAATATGTTATTAAAAACACGATGTCAACAACTCCATTAACTAGTTAATTGGCGATGACCAAATTAATAAATTTTTGTAACGTTAGTGGTTAAATCAAAAACTTTTAGGTGACCAAAATAGAGACACCCTAATAGTTGGATAACTAATAGGATAGTGTAGACACTAATTTTCGTTCAACTTCATATATTATTTATATTTTTATTATTTTATTATTTTATAGTATAATACATATATTTATAGTATATTTATTTTATGTTTATTTTTTATTAGGCCAAAAAATAATTATAGCTATCCCAGCACTCCAGTTACAAGCAGACCAGACCCAGGCCAGGGGACCTGAACCGGCCCAAAGAGACGACTCAAATCGGCCCAACATAGGAAGCCCACCAGCGAGATTAGGTTTTCCTCCTCTTCTCACTTCAGCAACGCACAGTCCACTTGCCAAGGGGAACCGCCGATCAAACTTTGGATAATCTTTTCCTGATTTCCCGGTGCAACCAACTACCACAACTCAAGTTCATGTATTTTAGTCATAGTAAAACACTAAAACCTAACGAAAAATGGGGAATTCTCTAGGCCTATTAATTCATATGAAATGTAAAAGGAAAAGGACAGAAAATAGGATACAAGAAATCAAAGCTAAAAAAATCACGTGTAAAGTTTTGAAAAAGAAATAAAAAGGTAAAGTTTCTCACCTTCCTTTTTTCGTTTATTTTGTTTTTTTTTTTCTTTTTGTTTTTAACTAAAAAACCCAAAAAAAGTGAAGCCGATGAAAAGGGGGAGGTTTTCAAGATCTTGTTTCTCAAATCTAGCCCTCCCGAGGTTATTTTGCAAAAACTATTTGGATTTTTGGAAAGAGGAAAATGTGGGCTTTCAATTGATATAAAAAAATTAATGTTGCCGCCAATGAACGGCGATCAAGGGCGGCTGGGGAGGCTACGGTGGTCGGATTTTGGGTTCGCTATGAACCCAGGTGACCGTGTTCTTCGTTCATGAAGAACACTTGAGAGAAAAACGGGGGGATGGATTTGGTAACAAAAACACCGAACAAAAACGGAGAGGAAATCGAGGGATCCATAGGAGAAAATAGAGAGATTCGGTGGGGGTACTCGGACGAAAAAAATTACAGAGAAAATTCGGGTTTGATAAAAAATAGAAAGAAGAAGGAAAGAATCTCACCGAAGCCGGAGACAAAGAAAGTCGAAACTTTTGTTCGTAGATCTATGTTGATAGACACATTTTCAGGCGAAACTAACCTTGGATTTATAACTATAATAAGAAAGCGCTTCGAGTGGACTATTTTTCTCATTCCTCCGGCGCCGACGAACGGCGGTGGCCGCCGCTGATCGGTGGTCGACATGGCGGAGGTTTGCCGGTTTCTGAGAGCCTTTGAGCTTCGGTTGAGAGCTCTCTCTCTCTCTTTCTCTCTCCTTCACTCAAGTATATATGAAGCAAATGAGGTAATTTGTTATTTTAACCATGGGTTTCGACTTATATTCTCCACACGAAACGACGTAGTTTCGATGAGGATTGATCTGTAATTTTGTGAATAGGTTAATATCATATTAGATCCTTGCTTTTGAGTAATTTCGTGCATCATTAACTTTGTTTATTTATTTATGATATTTGAAGCTAGCTTAAATATTTGTGTTCATGTTTCGACTTAATCTAATTTTCCTAGATTTGTGTTTTGATGTTTAGTAAACATACTTTATATCAATTTCATCTTGACCCATAATTTTGTTTCCCTCATTATAATTTATTATTTCTTTAATTTAGGCATCAACTTGCTTGACTTTTTGGTGTAATTTGTTTGACATGATATGTTTGTCTCATGTGTATGTTCACTCTATAGCTTATATATATATATATATATATATATGCGCGCGTGCATGTATTATGCCATAAATCTAGCTAATAATTTTCAATTAGTTAGTTGCATATGGTTAATGTGTTTTATACCTTTATTTATTTCCTTTAAATTGTTTTAATTATTCTTTCTGTTAATATGATTTTATTTATTTATCTATTTTTAACCTTTTTTTGAAACTTTTTCCCCTTTTTTTATTTAATATTTATTTTTTTATTTTTCAATTTAACATTCTTTTTTACTTTTTCAATAGTAATTTCAATCGGTCAAAGGTGAGCAATTCGAATTGAATATTTAAATTTTAATCTAAATTTTAATTTTTGCGATTAAGACAACCGACAAATTAATTAGTACCGAATGAACAATAAAAGGGTTTTAATCCTTCATTGACTGTAACCGACTCCCGAACCTGACACGTTTCTGGTAAAACACAGATCAGGTAAGATGGTTTCCGATCCACCTAAATGTTTTTAAAATGATCGGTGGTGACTCTAACCATTCTATTCAAGTTGAAACCTAATTTTTGGCCCACCCGAAAGACGGTCACGATAGCTTGGCGACTTTGCTGGGGACAAGTAAGTGAGTCAGGACAGAATTAATTTCGATTGTCTTTTTTAGCGAAAATTATAAGTTTAAATTCTAATTTATTTATTCGATTCTTATTATTATCTTTGATTTTTTTTTTTCAAATAAATAGTTGTACTGATGCTTTCTTTCAATGATTTCAGATTTTTGAAAAAATTTCATCTCTGCTCTTTACCCGAGTTCCAAACCCTTTTAAGTGGGGGTAAAAGCGACGCCTTCGTGGGAATTTATTCTCCGTATGGGCCTAGCAAGTAACCTTCGGGATTCATATACCTTATGTCTTCGTGTGAATTTGTTCTCCGTATAGACATAAGGGAATGTATCCTCTCGAGTTTAACTTAGTCCACATAAGCTTGTAATGGGCTTAGGACTAAGGGTATGGCAAGCCCAAGGGGGCACCAGTAAGGAGAACTCGGGTACCTTTCTTTAGAACCTATACCAGGAGACTATAGGGAATTAGAGCCAACCCCAAAACCTCGTTTCAAACCCTAGGCTATTTTTAGATTATTTCATGCTTTATTTTCTATTCAATGCATGTGAACTATAAATTTATGCGGTTAGGACTGGTTCAAAATTAACATGTGGGATAGAGATCATGTTCGGGTAAGAATAATAAGCATATAGGGTAGATATCAAGTGGGGTTGGACTTTTTATTTTCATTATCATTTTGATTATTATCTTTATCTCACTAACTTTTTCCTTTCATTTTGTCCTTTTTTATTTTATTTTTTTCACTCACATCATTCAAAAGAGGTTTTGATCCACAAAAACATGTTCGCTAAACATAAATAATTTGCATTAATGGACAAAAGGGTTATAATACAAGAGATGAAAAACGCAAGTGGCAATCTGCAAGGCAACTATGTGTCACATTCAATTAAGAAGACGTGGTGTCCACCATCAAGTACATCAAAAGTCTACTTTTTAAAAAATGGGTTGGCAAAGGTTGCAGGGGCAAGACGAGAAAAAGGTTACTGACCTGGAGAGTCCATTCAAAGACAACAAGAACAAGATGGCAAATCATTAGCTGAAATTGGAGGCCATTGTGGATGAATTCAAGAAACAAGCAGATAAACTTCAGATAGTTCCTTTCGATAGAGGGCTCAAATGGTGTTTTCGTTAGGGAATAGACTCAGCAGAGAGTTAAAACCAGAGATGCAACCATTCTAGACTTCTTGGGACAAGTACAAAAAGTAGCTCAGAGAGGTCGGGATGGTTCGATAGGGTATTCAACCGGTGGCAGAAGAAGGCGGAAGATGAATCAACCTGTCAGAAGTTGTTCGGGGTCTAGAAGAATATACCTTTAAAATGTTTTTATCTTTTAAGAAATAATACTTTTTTCCCCAATAAGGATTATTTATAGTAACAAACAAATTTTTGGATCAATACCTCAAACATTTCATGCATCATGCATTTAGACATATTTTGTATTTTTTTATTTTCATTTATTTACATTCGCATTAACTAATAGAAGAATATATCATCAAACGAGGAAAAAAATACTGGATATACCACCTCAAGCATTGGATACACCCCATCCACATAACACCCGCTTAAAAAAGAAGAAGAAAAGAATAACCAGAGTAATCAAAGTACTCTGGATACAATCACGAAGAACCAAGAGTCATTGGTTGATCAGATTGTGGCCAAGTTATCTGGCCTACATCAAGCAAGTGCACCTAGGGCAGGTTCATCGGAAGGAGTAGCTATGCCACCTACCCCGCAGATGGTTATCTCACCTGGAATCTTACCTGAACTTTAAGGGGACTCATCTACTACAAAGGTGAAAACCCCATCTACTGCAAAGATACAGACTATTGTATTTAACCCTGAGAATAATATGGGTTATTACCATATATAGGATTTAGACGAAGAGAACGACATGGAAAAGAAGATGGAGGAGAAAATCAAACAATTAGAGCACTATATGAAGGTGGTTAAAGGAGACAATGACTACTACGGAGTCGATGCCGCAGAACTCAGTCTAGTCCTAGACTTGGTTCTTCCTCTGAAATTCAAGTCCTCAGAATATGATAAGTTCGATGGGAACAATTGCCCATCTGTCCACATCACCATTTTCTGCCGAAAGTTGATAGGATATGTAAGAAACGATCAACTCCTTCTCTATTGCTTCTAGGAGAGTCTGTCGGGCTAAGCCATTAGGTGGTACAATCAGCTAAGCCGGTCCCATATCAAGACTAGGAAGGATTTAGCCAAGTCATTTATGGAACAATACAAACACGTTAATGACATGAGGCCAGATCGAGTTATGCTACAAAGCATGGAAAAGAAGTATAACGAGAATTTCAGGCAATACACACAGAAATGGAGGGATTTAGCTGTGCAAGTTCATCCACCTTTGGATGAGAAAGAAACTCGAAAGCTCTTCATGCAAACATTGTAGGCTCCTTACTTCGTGCACCTGGTTGCAATCACATC